GTTCCCACCAGCAACCACAGTCTTCATGTTGGTCGGGCTGTTTCCCTGCCTGCTGCGATTCCCCCAGACCTTCTCTTTCTGACTCTTCTCCCTCCTCCTTCCCACATTCACAGCCAACAACCACTAAAAATATATATTTTAAAGTGACTGGACTTTCGATCTTAAATCCAGCCATTAAAAAAAAAAAGAGGTGTTTGTCCTTGGAGCACAGCTACCCTCGTTTGGGGAGAGGCATTCTGACTCCCGTCCACTGCACTGTACTCACATCGGCAGATTTGTCCTCACGGGACGAGAGGGTGCTCCATTGTGGAGGGAGTTTGAGGGGCTCGTCCAATGCCACACAGCTGAAGGGCAGAAGTTATTCTGAGTCCCACCTTAACAACACTGGTGTGTGTGTCTGTGTGTGTGTGGTTTTTTTCCCCTTTTATCAGCAATCCATGCTGTTCTGAACTCTTTCCCAAGATACCTCCTTTCTTTTCACGTGGCCTCTAACTTTTCTTGTGGCTGTAAAACTTAACCCTTCCTGCCGTACGCCCATCTGCGTCGTGCCTCAGGGACACACACTGCTGTCTCTCCTGTGCCTCTAGCCACTGCTGTGGCTCCCAGTACCTCCCTACCTCTTGCATGTTGTGGCCTTCAGCTCCTCTGACACGTTCAAGGGTTTCATACCTTGTTCCTGTGAGGACAGGGATTATAAACAAATTAACATGTGGACACACAAACCAGTCCAGTTTGTTTGAGCTGCTGCATTATAAAAGACTTCAAACTGAGTTGTGTAAAATAACAGTCATGCTGTTAGGTTCATGGGTTCTGTGAGTCAAGACTTTGGATAGGGCAGAGTCGGGGAGACTTATCTTCACTCCGTGATTATCTGGGGCCTCGGAATGACTTGAACCGTTGGGAGCTGAAATCATCGGGACTGGGATGGGCTTAGCGGGCTGTCGATGAGAGTGGCTTGCCCAGGCCCACTATGTGGCCGGGACTTGCTTGCAGTACGGCCTCAGATTCGTCAGACTTCTTACCTGCAGACTCAAGGCTCCAAATCAAACATTCCAGGGACCGAGATGTTAGCTGCATGGACTCATGTGACCTACACTCAGTCACAGGTCCCTTCTGACATACTCTATTATTTGAAGCAGTCTCAAGTCTGTCCAGGTTTAAGTAGAAGTGACATAGTTTCTACACTTCAGTAGAAGGAGTGTCAAAAATTGTATAGACATATTTTCGATCTGACATGCAAATAAACAAACAAAACAAAAGCTTTAAAAACTTTAACTCCTTGCCCAGCCGGTGTGGCTCAGTGGTTGAGTGTCGACCCATGCACTAAGAGGTCGCCAGTTCGATTCCCAGTCAGGGCACATGCCCAGGTTGTGGGCCGAATCCCCAGTGGGGGGCATGCAGGAGGTGGCCAATGGATGTTTCTATCTCTCGCTCCCTCTCCCTTCCTCTCTCTCTAAAATCAATAAAGGAAAAAAGAAAAACTAACTCCTCACAGAATTCTCCAAAGCCTGGGACAGCAGTTTCTGAACTTTTCTACACAAAGAACTTGCCTACTTAAAACAAAGCAGAACCTCCCCACCCCCGCACCCTGAGAAAATACTTATTGTCATTGAAGGGGTAACACACACTCACAACAAATAACTCAAGACAGCTAAACACAATGAATTCAGAATAGTACAAATAACATAAAATATTCTTGAGAACTTACCACCTAGAGATTAACTACTAAGTGTTGAAGAACACCCCTTCAGATATTTCTCTATGTGTATACACATATAAATATGTGAACAGTTTCATATAAATAGGATCATGCTATTAAGCTCTTTTGAAATGCCTTCTCTTTTTTCCACTCAATAATATGTTCATTTTTCTACGTTGCAACAGAAACGGTTGGTTTCTTACCCAGCATCTATTGGCCCTTCATTCCTTAGCAGGATTCTTATTGAAATTCAAGTATCCACCCTCCTACAAGTGGCAATTTGTTTCCAGGAAGGCCGACTCTGTCTCTAGTTCCCAGGGTAAAAGATGATTGGGCTTAGTTAAACAGCAGTCCATTCCCCTGGCCAGTGACTGGAACAGTGATGGAATGTGACATCTTTCTGGCTAACGTGAGGGCAAGACTGAGGGCGTGTTTGGGGGAATGGAGTTCCGTGATGATGCAGAGACTCTCTGCAGCGCGCCCTCTCCTTCTGCCGTATGTCGTCATTTCTACCCGTGCTGTCTAAACTATCGCAGCTTCACGTGGCTTTTGTTGTGTGTGTGATTTTTACATGATATATTGCTGTTTAATTTGATTGAGTTGAGTTGTCTTTCTGTGACGTATAGCCAAAAATATTCTAACTGATGCGTGTCCCCCCAAAAACGTACGCAAAAGTACTTTGAATGGCTGCCTATGTTATTGCATGGGTATGACAGAACCAGTTGGAAAATTTCCCAATTGTTTGACACTTAGGCTGTTTTCTAAACTTGTTGTTGTTGCTTTTGTCACATTTAGCAGCACTGATGAGTCTCAGTACTTTCATTAATCAACGTTTAGGTGCTCCTCGGTGTGTCTACCCGCCTTCCATCCTCCAAGTCTCTAGCCCACAACATCGGTCTCACAAGACACACATTCTTACATCTGTTACAGAAAAAAGTTTGGGGCTTTCAGTTATCTCCACTTTTTTCTTCCTCCAGTGGAAAGAGCACAAACTTTGGGACCAAACAGAGATGGTTAGAAACTCCTGCCACTTCCCAGACAGACAATCTCGGGAGCTCCGATCTCCACGCTGTTCACGAGAATAGAAATACCAGCTCCTGGAGTTGTCGGGATTAAACGAGACGATGTATGTTAAGCAACTCGCTCTGCTGTCACCTCCCGTCTAGAGCCTGACGCATCGAAAGTGCTGAAATGGTCCTTACGTTTATTCACTGTCTAGAGAAATACATGTGGAAGAACAGGAATAGGGGTCATTGCTCTCAAAATGTATCAGTGAGATGCTGTTTGCATTCTTTCTGGAAGGGTCAAGACTTCCTGCTACTTTTCTTTAACTGTTAATTTTGAAGTAATTCTAGATCTAAAGGGGTGGCAAAGGTAGCACGGAGAGCTCCTGTAGGCCCTTAACCCAGCTTCCCCTGATGTCAGCATCTTACATAACCATGCCGCATTGATCAGAACTGACCGAGCGCCACTGGCAATACCGTCAACTAAACTGCAGCCTTTCTCTAGATGTAACCAGTTTTTCCACTCACATGCATTTTCCATTCCAGAATACAGCCCGGGACACCATACTGCTGGTTTTTAATAGACCCGAGCCATTTCCTCCAGGGCACTGCTGATCACTCTTCTGCTGAAAACGTGTCCAGGCACCACTGACTGGGTGCTATCGATGTGCCATCCTGACAACTCTGTGGGGTAGGTATCCCTTTGTTCACTTTACAGATGGAGAAACTGAGACTCAGAGAAGTTGCGCCTCCATCAAAGTCCCTGAGAGGCAGAGCTTCTTGCCTAGCTGCCTTTCCCAGGGGTGCCATCCCCTGGCCCTCTCCCCAGAGCCTGTCCTCCGTGTGTGCTGGGAGGGCAGAGGGGTCCTAGAGCAGGGGCCCCTTGCCCGTGGGCAGAGTTAAGTCTGGCTAAAATTGGCCCTTTCTGACGGTGCTTCCGAGCTCTGGGTTACCTCCCGGCCTTGGGGGGCAGACCCTTCAAGCCCTTCTCTCGTTCCTTCCTCCCTGGTTCGCAGTGAAGTTGCTGCTGTCAATCCCATCACTCAGTGCCCGGCCACAATGCAAAGGCGCCTCCTGGTGTTTGCATTTGAATAGGGGCCTGAGCCTGAAGTCAAACAATGAGGCTCGTGGGGGGGTGGGGGAGAATTGGGCAGAACGCCTGCCGGCAGCCCCTCCAGGCCCCTGTGCAGGCACGAAGGCGGCTCTTCTCCGCTTACTCAGAAGGCTTGTTTCTCCACGTGAAACGTCACTGACAGAACCCTTCCTGCTGGCATTCTGGGGCTTCTGCTCCTGGGGACAGGGACGTGACTCTTCCTGATTTCCCTCCCAGGGGTGCTGCCCAGTGGAAAGCAGGCAGCCAGGAGGTTCGGAGCCCCCAGCTGCATCACACTGCCAGCCCTCAGGGGGTCACGGTGTGCTGCAGGCCACCTCACGACAGTGCAGCCAAGAGCTGCACGTATCACTTTACTGAACAAGGAAATGGAGGCTTGAGCTGCCCAGCTGGTCGGAGTGTGGACTGGACCCCGCACCTGGCTGGCTGCAGAGTATATAATCCTTCCGCTACACCAGTGATTTCATGACGATTGTTCTGGAAACAGTACCATCGCCAAAGCCAATCTCGGGTTCCTGATGCCGGGAGAGCCCCATGCTGTCCCAGGCTAGCAGTGAGCAGATCCCAGGCTCTAGAGGACCAGGCTGGTGACAAGGCCCCTTTCTAAGGTGCCCACCTGAAGGTGGAAGAGGGTTCTGCTTGGCAGGCAGGAAGACAGAGGCAAGGGTCTGCGTCCTGCCAGGGAGCGGGCATTTCCTCATCCAGGTGACACCATTTGAAGAATGCTGATAGTGAATGTCTCTCTCTCTTTTTATTTTTTTTCTTTTATTGATTTTAGAGGGAGAGGGAGAGAGAGATAGAAACATGGATGAGAGAGAACATCGATGAAAGAGAACATTGATTGGCCACCTCCTGCATACCCCCCACTGGGGATCGGGCCCACAACCTGGGCATGTGCCCTGACCGGGAATCGAACCAGCGACCTCTTGGTGCATGGGTCGATGCTCAACCACTGAGCCACACCAGCCGGACATGAATGTCTCTTTTTGCCCGCAGATGTGGCCCAGCAAGGGTGTACCTGGGCCTGGAGCAGCTTTAATCCTTTGTTTACATTAAGGGAGTTGAGTGAAACTAGTGTGTCCTAAGCTGGAACCACATTTCAGCTGCAAGTCCGCTCTCAATTCTGACGCAGAAACCAGCTTTGGAGGAAACAGTCAGAATACTCAGAGCTGCAGTGTGGGCTGACTCATCAGAGTCCCCGGCAAGCCATTTATACCTGTCTTGGTCATGGGTGGCTTTGGGTCCCTACATGAGCCCCGAAAGTCTTTGCTGAAGAGTGTGAGTAAGAACAGCTGGCCCGCCCTGAGCTCACCCTCTGCACCAAGCACTGCACAGGTGAATCCTAGAAGCAAGGGGGTAGACAGAATGATTGCCTGCACTTTACAGATGAAGGAACGGAGGCTCGGAGAGCTGAAACGGATCGTGTGAGTGCGCACACTCACTCAGCGGCAGAGCTGGGGCCGAACCAGGCAGTCTTCCCGGAGCTGGAGGGACACACACCACACGGCTGTCTCCAGGTGATGTTCTTCCACTTTTTCATTTCTCTGTCTTCATTTGCTACAGTACACATTCTGTGGGGACAGGCAAAACAATGAAAAATTTTATACTATTCAAAACAGAGAAGCTCCTTCGTGAGTACATGTCACATGGGCTCTCTCCCGGCCGTGCACAGGAAACCAGTTTAGACCACCGTGGCTCCGGTAGGCAGATGGCAGATGAATCATTGACACAAAATGAGGGGTCTGCTTGCTTACACACTCTTGTATTCCTTCAATTATTCCTTCATTTCTTCAAAAAAGTGTGGAACTGTGGCTCTGTCAAGGCACTAAGGTGGGCACTGGGGATGCAATTCCGCCTAAAACAAGGTCACCGCCCTCCAGGGGATCCTAGTCCCGGGGTGCAGGTGGGGCGAGCTGTGCTTTTAGTTAGGCACCGTGTAATGTGTTAAGGCACATAAGAGTTTGCAAGTCTGTTTCCTGCCAGAGTTTGCATCCTTGAGAGCAGAGACTGGTACCTACCCCATACTTCAGCCATTCATTCATTCATCCCTTTGCATTAGCACATGGTGGTTGAACATGTAGCAGAGGAACAGCCCACACGGTCATTTCTCTAGGTTGAAGGAGGCAGAGAGGAGGATGGTTAGAAAAATCTCCATAGAGACTTACTTGGATAGAGGCTTAAGAATTGAGAATGTTTTCGCCAAGTGGGGAAGGGACTTCCAGGCAGAGGGAACAGCATGTGAAAAATGACAGTAGTGTGAAGCCTCCGGTGCATTTGAGAAACAGCTAATAGTTCAGTATGGCTGGAGCATGGTGTATGTGTGGGAGGGAGGGAGGACTCAGGAGAGTGCAGGGCCCAGAGCCTGGTGGCCTTTGTCATGCTAAGGAGCTGGGACATAAATGTGGTTAAGTTACAAGGAGAGAGAATCAAATGAGGAATCAAAGGCGGGTATATGTGCAGATGGAGCCTAGGGCATGTGAAAGAGTTCTCTTCCTCCTCTTCCTCTCTCTCCTCCTCCCCCTCCTCCCCCTCCTCCCCTTCCTCCTCCTCCTTCCCCCTTCCTCCTTTTTCTGTTTTATAAGCCCTCCATCCCTTTTTATAAAGGAGTGAAAGGGTAGGAAGTGAACATCTTTCGGCATCTACTGTTTGCCAGGCCTTGGCTGCTGCCTTTAATCCTCACTCTAGCACTTGTCACCAGCCCTTTTCCAGGTGAGAAACTGAGGCTCAGAGTGGTTAACCTGAGGTTTCCACCAAAGTGCATCTAATTCCAAAAGTGGTGCTCTGTGCCCTGGGCCAGGCACACCTCAAAGTGGAGTTAGGCTTTGCTAAGTGGCCCGTGTACCTGGCTCACTGGATTCTTAGCATGGCACTGAGTGGTCAATTGGGCAAGAATCCCTGTCCCCATTTTCAGGAGGAAAACTGAGTCACAGAGAGCGGTCCATTGACTACGTGACAGCGATTTGAGAGCTTCGGGATTAGAGACGTCCTGAGTACCAAACAGATATCCATCTGAAAACCACACATGGAAACAAAAATAACCCTGGACGGCTTCTCAGCGCAAAGAGGCAGCTGTGGGCACGGCACATGCGCACTCGGGAACCTTCGCAAGTGAAGGTTTGCAGCTGGAATAGCCGGAGGGGCCCGTCCAAGTGGCTGAACTAATCCCTTCCTCTGCCTCTGCCTGCTTCCTCTGCCACCTTGGGCGGGGGGGGGGGGGTCCTCCAGAGGTGGCACCTATGGTTCTCCAAGAATCCCTCATTTAGCTCCCAAGACCCAGCACAAACCCGGGTGCGGAATGTTGGTGCAATTTTGACAAGATGCTCACAGAGGTTCAGTGACTAGTTTTAATTAGGCCATCTTTGTTTACGTTTGATGTTTATCAGCTAATTGGCATGGCAAGGTGTGAGTCACACAGCTTTTCCCTGGCATGGAATCAGTTTGTCAGAGAAAAAAGCAGGAGAACAAATGATCCCAATTATGAGAGAACCCACCGGGCTAATTATCGTCCCACTAAGGACGGAACCTCCCCCTCCTGCTGCTGCCGCTGAGGCTGCACCGAGTACCCTGGGACCCTCCCTCCCCTTCCCCCAGCTCCCGAAATCCAGAAACCCGGGACCCAGGTCCCCAGCTCACCGCCTGAAGATTTAGTCTTTTGAATTCAAAACCCACATGTCCCCTCAGCTCAGACACGTCAGGACAACATTCCCCCTTCAGTCCAAGATCATTCTCCCCTGTCACCCCTGTCACAAGTGACAGCTTAGGTCTGTGGTACTTGTCCTGTGTGCCAGGCACCATTGGGAACACTTACTATTCTGTACTCCAATGACACAGTCGGGTCCCATCATTATCTCCATTTTACAGATGAAGAAACTGAGACAGGCAGAGATTAAAGAACTTGTTCAAGGGCAAGCAACAGAAGAGGGATTTGAACCCATGTGGTCTGTTGTCACAGTACCTGCTCTTGACCGTCAATGATTCTGGAAGGGTCAGAGAGCCCTGAAATCAACCAATCAGGATTCTTTAGGCAGACGTCTGGCGGTGACTCTCCCTCTCTGCAGGTTCAACTACCTTCTAGAACAGTGCTGTACAGACTTTCTGCAACGATGCAGATGTTCCACTGTGCTGTCCACAAGCCGTGTGGCTGGTGGGACTGAGGGACCAAAGTTTAGATTTGATTTCATTTTAATTGAAAGAGTCATGGTTAGTCGTTACCATGTTGGGTAGCAGTCCGGGCTGGCCAGCTTTTATTCCTCCAATGCAGAAGTTCCCTAATCAACCCTGTATTTGTGTCATTCACCTCCTCCTTTTTCCAGCCTGGCAGCCCTCCCCCCACCCCTCATTGGGCTTTCTTGGTGTGGACAGGACCAACACAGTTCTCTTCATTTCCCCCCTCCTGCTCTTTACGGCTCCCTGCAGTAGAGGGGCTTGTGTGGAGGAATGTAGTCCGGCTGCCCTTGAGTTGAATGATGATCGTGGACCTTTGGAATGTCCACAAAGCCCCACACCCTCGGCCTCCCCGGTCTCCCTCCTTTGCCGGGGTAACAGATGGCCCCAGCTTTCACCAGCAGGGCCTGAGCACATTGTCACTCCCAGCTGAAAGTGAAATATTCAGTGGCATTTAAATTAAATAGACTCTAATGCTTCAGTAATATTAATTACGTTTTCATTCATCCCTGGCCTAATAAATCAATGCGTAAAGAGGGGATGCTCGGGACGCTGGCAGGCGAGTGGGGCCACTGGGCCTTTGTGTGAGCCCGCACACAATGCCCCCATTCTTACCGGGCCGCGCTGGCCCCTGCAAACATCTGTGCTCAGCCCCGCTTGAGGAGGAGCCGAAGTGGTAACATTTACACTCTGCTCATCCAATTTGTCCCTGCACCGGCCGCGTCAACGGGAACCGGGAAGGCCACACTGAACACAGCATGCGGGACTGGGATGTATGTGTTTGGAGCTGGGGTTTTGCAAAATTTGGGGGGCAGAGGGTTAGGGGACTGCTGCAGAGAGGAGCGTGAGGCGGGGACTTCTCTCTGGCTGCAGGACGCGTTAGCTCAGCTTTAACCATGGGAGGAAGGAGAGAAGAGGAAAGGACAGAGGGGAGGAAGGAGGGAAAGAAGGGAGAACAACAACCGCTGCCATTGACGAGTGCTTGTTAGGTGCCGGAACGGCGTTAACCACTCTCCCATTTATTCCTCATAACAATGCATGACATGATATGGCAACTGTTATTGGCCCATTTTACAGATGAGGAATTTATTGGTGGTTCAGAGAAATTAAGTAACTTTCTGTGCTTTCAGTTCATGCCTTTCTGACTCCAAAGTCCATGATCTTCACCTCTGAGATCTACTTCTATCAGAAGAAAATTCAGAAGAAAGGGGTCTCTAGGGATGTGGTGTAGGTGGGGGGCAAGGGCCAATGTTTGAGAAGTTTGCAACTTTCCCCCTTGATTTCTGAGCTGTTGAGGCTTTGGGGAGGTCCGTCCCCACCACGCAGTGCCCCCACCCCGCTCTGGGCTATCCATATGTAAAAGAAGCCAATAAAACAGCCCGAGAGCTTGCCCTCCTAAATCTTCTGGACAAAACCTCCCACTTGTGATGCTTCAAAGCTGCCCAGAGCTACCAGTTTACCCCCAGAAGTCCCGATTCAATGCCTCTGATTGGAAAATAAATAGCCTTGCACATAAAAACTGCAGGCCAATTGTGACCCCGGGAATGGGAAAGTGCTGTCTCGGACCCCCGCACGCCAGCCCCAGAGTCTGACTCGACTCGGGCAGGCGCTCCTGACCCAGACGGAGCGGGGGCTGCTGTGGCGGCCGGGCCACAGGGCGGACTTCAAAAATGGCTCCTTAGAAAGATTTCTTTTAAAATGAGATATAATTGACCTGGGAGTCAACATAATGATTCAATGTAAGTATATATTGTAAAATGATGGGTTTTTAAAGGCCAGATTAAAAAATAATAACTTAAATTCCACAAGAAATTGCATGCTTATTGAAGAAAAGATAGAAAATACATATAAGCAGAAGGAAGGGAAAATATCACCTTAGTCCTTCCTCCAAAATTGGCATTTGGTACTTGTTCTTCTAGAAAGCTCTTTCTACCACCACTCAGCAAAAATTGGACCATAAGACACAAACTGCTTTGTCACCTGTTTCTCCCCCACCCCATGAACATGGCACAAAACTTCTCTATGGCATTAAATACATGTTTATTGGTTACTTTTTTAGAGGGAGAAAGGGAAAGAGAGAGAGGGAAACATGGATTTGTTGTTCCACTTATTTATGCATTCATTGGTTGATACTTATATGTGCCCTGACTGGGGACTGAATTCACAACCTCGGTGTATGGGGATGACAACGCTCTAACCAACTGAGCTACCCAGACAGGGCTTCACCATTGTATACTGAAAGGCTAGTTTTGCAAGTTATGAATGAAACATGCATTCTTTTTTATATTTGTTCTATTTTTTTCTTTATTGATTTTAGAGAGACAGAGTAAGGGAGAGGGAGAGAGAGATAGAAACATCGATGAGAGCGAACATCGATTGGCCGCCTCCTGCATGCTCACCACTGGGGATCGGGCCCACAACCTGGGCATGTACCTTGACTGGGAATCGAACCGGCGACCTCTTGGTGCATGGGTCGATGCTCAACCACTGAGCCACACCGGCTGGGCGAAACATGCATTCTTTAATCAATTCCCAACTGTTGGGCATTTGGCTTGTTTCTATTTTTTCCCCTTTCACACATAATGCTATAATGCATTTCCTTGTGGCTAAATTGGGATACACTCACATTCCTGATAAGTTTCTTAGAATAAGTTTCCCAGAGACATTGCTAAGTCAAAGTGAATGCATACATATGCATAGTTTGACGGTAGATATACTGAGTGTTTGTTAGGATTTAAAAATTATTGGGGCAGCTAAGTTTTAATCCCAGACCCAATTTCCATCCGGTGTAAGTATCCTCACCCTCCATTATTTTAGGCTGATAATTAAGGCAGGTTTGACTGCGCAAATCCAAGCTTTGGCACCTTCTAGTCATCCTGTTGGTGGTTATGGCTCAGCCCCATGAGTGTCCCACAGGAAGGTGCTGAGTCGTGCGCCCAGCCTGTGCCCCTCTAGTCAGCCTACATAGATCCAACATCAGCTCCACCTACGACTGGCTGCGAGCCCTCGGGAAATCACCCAACCTCCCCGAATCTCAGCTTCTCGTCTACAAATTAGTGGGTGATGCTGGTGTCTATCTTATTTCTGCGAATGTTAAGCATATGTAAAATACTTAGCACAATGCCTGGTATGTGGCAAATGTTCACTCAACATTCGCTACTACGCTGTTATCGTAGTGACCCACTAGAGCGCTGTTTAACCGAACTCTTATTTATTCCAGTCTTGGGGTTTTCTTGGATGCAAGAGAAATCATGAATTGCACCCTCTTTAAAGCTGCCTACAATACATGGAAGGTGATTTAATGCGAACTAATATCAGATGAAGCCCTGCCACTAGCTGGACACCATGTGATGCATGCTGGAGGAAGCAGAGATGAATGGACCTCCGGGAGCTCATTGGCTGGCTGTAAAGCTGCAACACGCATCAGTAACTCAGATCTAAGGCAGCGTGCTGCCAGCGACATGACGAGAAGTGCGGAGAATGTGTGGATGAGGCGTCTCCAGCAGCATCTTATGGGAGGAGGGGACCTCACAGAGGTCCAGTAACTTGTCCAAAGCCACGCAGTTACTCAGATTTGTACCTGGGATTAGATGTGAGTTCAGTCTGGTTAAAAACTCACGTTTGTTTACTCCACACCAAGAAGCAGAGGTCAAAGCCAACTCTAAAGCAGAGTAAGACCACTCAACAAAAAATGACATCTGTGCTGTCCAACATGGTGGCCACTGACCACGAAATGTGGCGAGTTTGAGTGAGGAGCTGTACTTTAAATTTTATTTCAGCGTGGTTAGTGGCTACCGTGTTGGACAGCTCAGGTCTAGACTGGGGAAACTGATGTAAAAGAAGGGGTGATGTTGACGATCGAAGTTTTCCATGACTGGGACAGTGAAAGATTTTTAGAGGATAAAAGTTGAAAGGAAAGCAGACTTTGATTTGAGAGGCACTGTTAATAATAATTTAACAAGCAGTTTTTGTGGAGGCCAAATATTTTTCCACCCTTGGCTCAAAGCACCCATTTGGTTGATGTGCTCCGATCATGCCATCTTTGTGGCTCTTTGTCAGGCAGCTTGGGGCCCAGCCAAAGCCCATGGGGAGGCTCCCTTTGGCAAATGCATTCCCCCTTCTTCTCTGTTTTGTATTTGGCATCAAACCGAGTAACTGTCTCATGCTGAAACCACCACACATATCTAATTCCCATTTTGTTCTCTGTCAGACCCAGGCAGAGAGCTAATAGAATAGCTGACCCTTTCAGGTCAGAGAGAACTTCCACCTGTAGTTCTTAATGATTGGGGCTGTGCGAACACACACTAGGTAATGTCGTGGGGAGGTGAGTCTCCCATCAGAAGAAGTGTGCAAACATAGGCTGAACAATCATGGGTATGTTGTATCAAGGTTGTGAATGTCAGGCAAGATGGGAGACGTAGTTGGAACAAAAAGCCCTTTATGTTATTTCTAACTCCCAAAGTCAGACTCTTTGTAAAGCAGTCCCCTTTGCTCTATGAAACTCCTCACCTATTCATATCCCAGAGTCAAATGTAGAGTAAGAACCTTCTGAGGTCAGAGATATGTCACATTCACCCCTGTACTGATAATCCAGGCGTGGTACTTGGCATGTGGAAGGTGTTCAGAAAATCCTGAGACTGAGAGATCATTCAGATCTTGATGTCTTAACCTAAATATAAAATGACAGTCTTCATTTGCTTTGATGAGAGTAAATGAACAAAGTAAATTCAATGCAAATTTGGATTGCTCTCCACAAGGATCAATCAATTTCCCTATATAAATGTATTAAGCACCCCGTGTGCCCAGCCCTGTACATATAAAAGGGAGGGAGGGGACTCACAATGACCGAATATGTACTATGGGCTGAGTACTGTGGCAGGTGCACCGGCATACATTTTGTAGTATAATACCTATAAGCTTGGAAGAGGAATTAATATCCCCATTTTATAGATGAGGAAGCTGTGGCTTGACAAGGAAGCAACCCAAAACCACATAGGAAGTAACTGAGGTAACAGTCAACAGCCTTCAGTCCTAGCCCCAAACTGGTTTATGGGGCAAGTGGACTAACATTTATATAGGAGGGATCACTGTTGGTAAGGACAGGAGACTGGAGGGCCAACTTGGGAAATATTGTGGACATCTCAACACTGCAGAGGTGGGGGGATGTCTTCTGAAACCACCATGTCCCAGTGGGTGACATAGTAGCTGTAGGTAGGTCCAAGTAGCACCATAATAAATAATATCACCCCCTCATCTCAGCCCTTTTCGCCCTACTTCTTAAAAGTTCTTACCTGATAATGGGAACCCATAAATTGGTGTCATTAAACATTTAAAGAATTGCTTCAAATAGAAGACTTATTTTTTTTTCCAGATCCCTCCCATTAGCCATTTCCCAAAGTGGTTTAATTTAAAAAGTGGCTCATGCAGCTGGAAAGGCAAGACTTCAGGTGTAGCTGACACAGGTTCCCAGACGATGGCATTAGGAATGTCTCTCATGTACCGTTAGGCTCTTCACTATCGGGGGTGGTCCCCGTGGCTCCAGCCTCACTTCTTACCTGCTCAGCATCTTCAGCAGAGACTGTGCAACTTTCCCCCAATAGTTCTAGAACCTACAGAAATGTAGTACAATAAAGAATGTTGCAACTGGGAGCTACCTTGAGCTTGAGGTTTGCTCGGGGTCTGACAGATGTCAAGTACTGCTGTTTCCCTTGAAATTTTAAAATAGCCTAAGGCAGCCCTGAGGGTTCTCTGTGGCCCTTCGGGTGCTTGGTTGTGCAGTTTGGGAGAGAAGGTTATTGGGTCACCTTCTCCCCTTTCCTGAACTGCTGTTTCTCTCCCTTTTCCCAATTCCTGGCCTCATCCCTTTCTGTTCCCGTAGTTTGAATTCCATTTTCGGCATGTATTAATGTATCACTTTTAGCAGGTTACTCATTCTTTCTAACTCTTAGTTTTCTCTTACGTAAAGGGTGATCACGGTATCTACCACTCACCTACGTGGTAGGTGAGAATTCAATCAGAGGCTGCTACATTTAATGAACCGAGTACAGTGCCTGGAAGATAACCAGGGTTCGCAGTTGCAACTATTGTTTTTCTTGTTATTGTTATTAATATGAATACATGGAGAAGATATATTAGTCAGCCTTCAGCTCGTCTGTGAATGGCAGAAAAACAAAATAAATGGCTTAAATAAAATGGAAGTTCACTTCTCTCTCATGCAAAAGGCCAGAATGGGGATCCAGGGCTGCTATGATGTTACCCAGAGCCAGGGATTCAGGCTCTTTACCTCTTTTACCTACTGTGCACAGCTCCATTTCCAGGGCCGCCTCATGACCCAAGCGGGCTTCCCTGGCGCAGCTGTCACATGCCCTACCAGCCAGAGGAGAAGGCGGGGAGTCCTTGTTCTCTTCCTTCCTCGAAGTTACATACTCCAGCCCCGCACAGACCTCAGTGCTAGCATTGAAGTCACATTTACCTGCAAGGGAAACGGAGAAAGGAAATGATATTCTGGGAGACCCTGGTGCCCAGCTACAGTTTCTGTCCCCATGGGGGAAGGCGGTTGGAAAAGGCCGGAGGAGCTGGATGGTGGAGCGCAGAGGAAACCACGCTTCTGCTAGAGGGAAGCACAGTGCACTTCTGCCACCCGAGGAGAAGGTGAGACTGGATCCAGAATGTTTAAGAAAGCTGGAAGCTAAAACCCATGTCTGATGCTGTCTTCCCTGAGCCAAAGAGCTTAGCTCTGTCTCTCCCCCTCTCTGGCCGCCGGGGCTGGGGAGGGGAAGAGCACTGGCCCCAGGCAAACTTGGTTTGAGGCCAAATTCCAGGGCTCTTGGGGCTGACTGGCAGCCACTCTGTCTGAGCAACCTGGGGGATCCTGAGAAAAGAATGAACATCCGAATCCCAGAAGAAAATCGGCAGCGATGATGCTCCTGCTGCCTGGGTCTGGCTGGGAGGCCGCACAGTGGGGAGGATGAGGTCATGGTGACAAATGAGAGAAGGGGAGGGGGCTCCAGAGTGCAGCCTGTGCCCAGGAGCAGAGAGCAGGGAGCCCGAGCGCAGCGGCATCCGGCCGTCCCTGTCCCGCCACTGCTCTGCTGTGGTTTTGGACTTCAGTCGCTCCAGCCCGAAGCCGGGCAGCACATCTGCTGCCCTCGCTGCTTTGTAAGGCCACTGTCAGCAGCGGCTAGAGTTAAGAATGCCCAGGATGTGAATAGAGTTTCTAGAAAAGGAGGGGGTTGTTTGCTGGATGGGGGCAGATACAAAGGCAAAGCGGATAAAGGATTTTTAAGGCAGTGAAACTGTTCTGTATGATACTAATGGTGGAGACAAGTCATTATGCATTTGTCCAAACTCATAGGATGTACTGCACCAAGAGTGAACCCTATGTAAACTATGGGCCTCGGGTGATAATAAAGTGTCAATGTTAGTTCATTGACTGTAACACTGGTGCAGAATGTTGATGGTGGACAGGCTGTGGGAAGGGTATTGGGGTACATGGGAGCAGGTATGTGGGAACTCTGTACTTCCTGCTCAATTTTCCTGTGAACCTAAAACCGTTCTAAAAAATTGTCTATGATTTTTTTTAAAGATAGTAGAAGAAGTTGACTTTGGGAGTAATATTGCCAACTCAGGGCTGAGCACGGAGTTACTGAATAGCTATACAAAAGAAATCAACCATGTGTGTTCATCATCTTATCCAAAAGCCAGCTAGAGGCTATAAGGACGAGTAACCAGATACTAGGTAAACTGTGGTTATTTATCAAGGTAAATGTAAGCAAAGAGCTCAAGAAGACCCCAAACGTCCACACAACACAAAATTGCTCACATCTTGGTGTGGAGTTGTTCATTTGATGGGGATGAGAGTTTAATTCGGATCGTGGAGGCGGGAAGTAGATAAGAAGGTGGCTGCCACATGATCTAGGTCTCACTAGTATACCTTTCCTTCATCCCGTGATCATTGCATTTGATCCTTAACTCCTGCATTTGGGAGATACAGTTATTTTTTGATGATCTGCAAGTACTGCATTCAGCATTCAAGTTACTCTACTCTTTGAAGAAAACCAGGATTATGCTCTGACCTGAGGAGAATACAACACGGAGCCCATACCTAGAGCAGCGCTGTCCCATGGAACTGTCTGCCCTGACGGGACGTTCGGATCTGTGCGGTCCAATATGGTAGCCACCAGCCTGGTGTCATTACTGAGCACTTGAAATGAGACTAGTGTCATTGAAGAACTAAATTCTTTTATCGTTGTAATACATTTAAACTGCAATTTTAAAAAGCCCCGCATGGCTAGTGGCCCTTGTACTGAGTAGTGCAGGTATCGGGTTGTACTCCTCAGTAGTTTCTTTTCTACTCACCTCAGGTCTCTCAGACATGTGTTTCTTTTATATGTGCATGTGTGTGCATGTGTGCATGTGTGTGCATGTGTGTGGGGGGAGTGGTGGATACGCTAATGAACATACAGGAATGCTGTAGAACTTCCCATGGATGTCGCTAACTCACAAACATCTCAAACCCCAAATCATGGGCATCCTCCTAAACATCTAGAAAAACTTTTACCTGAAAAAAGCAGAAGATGTACGGAGTCCAGGAAAGAAGGCAGGGGTTCTATAGAATTTCCTTGCTGTATATCTTGTGTATATTTTTATTTTTGAAAAATGCATCATGACATCTGTAGTAATATCATGTAGAATGGGTCAGGCAGCCAGACTGAGGTTCAAGGCTGGCCCTGGCTTTGCCACCAAGTTGCTGTGTGAGTCTGGCATGTGACATCCTTCTCGGGTTCTCAGTTTCCCCGTGGTTACCACAGGGTCTACATTTTTTTGCTGAAAAACATAACAATGGAAAAGTTGCTTCAGACTGGTCCAAATCTGCAGCAGACTGGGTCACATTGTGGATCATGTCCACAGTTTGCTGCAGAGGAAGGAGGGGACCCTGCGGTCCGGTCAGCTGGGATACCCCAGGTTACGGGTAAGTAGGCTTCTTACCTTCAGGACTTCTCGGAACCTCCAACATG